CCCCCCCCTCTCTCTCTCTCTCTCTCTCTCTCTCTCTCTCTCTCTCTCTCTCTCTCTCTCTGTGTGTGTGGTGATCGCGGCCTCCTGCTGAACAGTCTTTTATTATGTCTTTAAAGTTTCTTCCGACTGTCCCAAGTACTGTCTTTCCCTGTATAGAAGGCACAGTCTTTTGTAGTGTATACGCTCCGGAAGTTGCCTTGTTAAAAAAAAAAAAAAAAAAAAAAGAAGAAGAAGAAGAAGAAGAAGAAGATGAAGTAACCTTGAATGCGTCTAAATATAGCGATGGGCGGTGACGTCGGAATATTTCCAATTTCCCACACTGACCCTTGGTTATGAAGATCAACCGCCAGGAACAAAGAGTTCAGGCAACAGGGACGGGGAAGATGGTAGCAAGGAGTCCCTGCTGGCAGGTCAGATGTATGTCGGATCAGCTGGTAGCCTGGTAGGCCATACATGTGCATGGGAGTTGGCCCTTCTTCTCCTCCTAAACTGGGATTTCTTTTCACCCCCTTGTTTTTAATGAAAGATCATATTTTTTATTTTTTTGTAACCACTCAAAACAGACACTACAGTTGATTTTAGCCAAAAGGCCAAGAAAGGTATAGCTGGCCATTTTTCCATTCATCTATCATCCAGAATGGAAGGGACGTGTTCTTTGGGGGGGGGGGGGGGGGGGGGGGGGGGGGGGGGGGGGGGGGGGGGGGGAAAATCACCACGGGCCGGTGGATCTTACAGACCCCGGAATGGACCTGTAAGTGCAGGTAGGCATCTGCAGGACCTGTAACCCGGACCGAGGTCCCACCAGCAAAGAGGATTGGATTTAATGCCTGAACGTGGACGTGTTTGCAAAGAGGTGCAGACAATCAGGATCGATCTGCATTTCTGCATCTCTGCGTAAAACACATCCAGATTCACAGCGAATTTCATGCACTTAATTCAGTCCTCTTTGCTAGTGGGACCTTTCCCCGGGAAGGCTCCAGGTACACTGGCAGGGTCATTCTTTCCATTCAATTTGGAAGCTCCTCATTCCTAGGTAGTAGTTGCTGTCCTCAAGGAGGCAGCACTTAGGGGTGTATTTGGGAGATGAATATCCCTTTTTTCTCTGTGAGCTCAGGGAAAGCACCATTATGGCTGGCTAAGCTTGAATGCTGACTCGCCAGTTTACTTTCTTTTTTCTTCTTTTTTAAAGGGTTTTTTTTTTTAATAGAAGACGCCCAAGGTAGTGCTAGGGGTGCTGATAAGAGCAGGCAGCACTAGCAATCCCGGGGGGCTTCCATCTATATGTGGGGAGCTGCACCTGCTGGAAATCGGGTCCAGCATCTGAATCACCAGCTTACAAAGTGGGTGGAATGTGGATATCACGGCCTCCTCCTCCACTAGGTTCCATTCATTTAGTACCCCTCTTAACAAAAATGTCACAGATCCTCCTCAGAGGGGTGGCCAGTACTATGGTGAATTTAAATTATGACAAAAAAAACACGAATTGCCAGGGTTCAAGTTCTTGCAAACACCCAGTGAGAGTGAGAGACTTTGCCTTTTTTTTTTTTTTTTGGCGCTTGGCTTTAGTATAACACTGTAACAGGTCAACTGAAGACTTTTCCCTCCTTGTAGTATTGGTGAGGGTTTTGGTGCTTCACCAAAATCATGAGGGCCTTTTTCGGCCTTGTGCGATAGATAGTGTTGGGTTTTTGGCTTTTCAGCCTCGGGGTAGTTCTCGATGTGCCCATTTCATGGCTGCGAGCCTTTTTGTAGGTAGTGTTCCGTGTTGGTCTGGGGTCAGTAACAGGCTTTCCTTTGTGCCATCGCTCTCCGATTGACAACATTGGAATTGAAGGCGACATGTTCCATCCCACCCTTCCGCTGACCTTGAATAGCGACGGGGGCTGCTACTGGGAGCAAAGCTGATGAGAGGCGACCTGCCCTCGGCAGTTGCGCTTAGAACACCAGTACCTTTCCCCGCTTGAAAAACAAATATGCGCCGGCTAACACAGGCAACTTCCGACGGTCCGCTCCATCGCGGTCGATGGAGCACCGCTGATGGCAGCCTGCCTTGGCAACCGGCGATGCCGGGAGGAGGTGAGCTGGCAGTCAAGCGCCGGCCAGGGATACCCGTCAGGACAGTGCTCTCCGACAATCAGCATGCATTGATAGCACTCCTACATTGAAGGGCAGTAGCGCGAGAACACGTTCTACAACCGGCTCACGGTAACAGTGGCAACGAGCAGCGAAAACTTGGCTGCGATCTGCGGCGATTATCTTCCATCTCTTTGCTTGACCTATCTTTGAGTGCAGGTACCCTTACGAACAGCGATGGCTTCTGATTCTGACATTCTGGATCAGGGTGCATTGTTGCAGCGTGCCTCTGGCTGCCCTGGCCTAGAGCCCGGGCTATCTGGCTATTTTGCCTGTTCGCCCTATGGGACCAGGCCGTGGCCTGACCCCAAAGGCTGTGTGCTCATTCAGTCCAGTCCAGTCCTGCCCGATACCACTCTCGGTACCAGTCCAGTCCAGTCCAGTCCAGTCAGTCCGCTGCTGGTATACCCCAGCTGCAGTCTGTTTGCAGTCTCCTTCTTCACTTGCACAGTTTGGAGTACATGCATGTTGAGTCTGCGTTGGAGCTGCGCTGTTCCCTTCCAGCTCCATCTCCATCTCCCTCATCCTCATCCCTTCGTCTTGATCTTGACAGACCGCCATCCTGGCGAGTCCGTCACACTGGTATCAGAGCGGGAACGGTCCCCACTCCCACCCACCCCATCCCGCAAGTGCGGGAAAAATGGTGTAATCCCAATAGCGGGATTTTGCGCCATTTTCGGCCATTTTCGGAGCAAACAGACAGGGAAACAGCGGGAAAAGGTGTAGCATCGAGAGAGAGACACGTGGCGAAAGGAGAGTGTAGTCAACGGTCCCCGCTCCCACCCACCCCATCCTGTAAGTGCAGGAAAAATGTTGTAATCCCGATAGCGGGATTTTGGGTCATTTTCGGAGCAGACAAACGGGAAAATAGCGGGAAAAGGTGCAGCACCGAAAGAGCGACACGTGGCAAAAAAGGAGAGCGTTGTCATGACGCAAGGCCAAGACCGCCGCATGTACGTACGCACGCCACACGCCCACGTTGTCGCTGCCCCGCCCCATCCCGCTCCCAAATTATATATATATATATATATATATATATATATATATATATACGATATATATATATATATATATATGAGTCGGTGAAACTCCAACGAAACAGTTTGTCACAGCCCCTCGTTTGTTGTCCTCTTCTCTCTCTCTGCCTACGGTTTACCGGGCAGTTCTGTTTGTGACGATATATATATATAAACAGTTTGTCACAGCCCCTCGTTTGTTGTCGTCTTCTCTCTCTCTGCCTACGGTTTACCGGGCAGTTTTGTTTGTGACGATATATATAGATAAAGACCCAGGATGCATGCTGCTGCCAGGTTTTGAACTTGGGCAGCTGCCAGCCATGCGCGTGTGTGGCCAGTGGCTGAACACACTGGCCAAACTCTATATATGTTTTGATAGTGTGGCATGTTGGTGTTGAACAGTGCGCGACAGTGCAATCAGGGTGGCTGATCAGATCTCAGCCAACCCTATATTATTTTTCTGCTGCAGCAGCAGGCTGCCAGCACCTTGAAGGCCAAAATCATGTAGATCTTGGTGATCTTGTTTGCTGCTGGCCACCCAAGGGATTAGGGAGTAAGGAGCAATCGATGCCTCAGCACCAAATGAAAGGGGAGGAGGCACAGAGAGGAGTGAAGCTAGGGTTTAGGGCTTAGGGATGATTGATTAGACCAGATGGAAAAAACAAAGTCTTTGTTTTCTTTGTCTTCAACAGCAGTTGTGTCTTTTGCTTTTTGGTTTTCAATAACGGTCAGTCTTTGTAGCTGGTCTGGTGCTTCAAGGAGGGTTTTTTGGGAAGATTTTTTGTATTGGAAAGAGTATGCAACACTGGACACAGTTTCCAGCACTAGCCAAAGGTGGTAATGGCCCCAGCAATCT